GAACGCACGCGCTCAGAGCCGGAGATTAATGAGATTCGACTGTTTGGAAGAGAGAAGCACAACTCTCTGCGACCTGCTGCAGAGTTTCCACTCCAGCTGAAGGCGATTGTCAGCCAAACATTTGCTCCGTCTGTAAAAATTCGACTCTGCAGGCCAAGATGTCTAAACTTTTAGAGTCAGACGCCTCCGAAGGACCGAAATACCACCAGCAAAAGGGGAGCTGATGGAAAGCCAGAGCAGGATTTTCAGTCGTGGCTTTCTTTTCTTTTATCGGAGAAGAATGAGAGAGACTGTGACCTCCAGGGTTTATGAACATACTTTCGCAAAGAGGAGTCCATATAAAACTGTATTTGTGAGGGTTCAGAAGGAGTTATTTAATCTTTCCCCCAGATAGGAGGGAGATATTTATGTTCGTAAAACCAAACCAAGAACCAACTTTCAAGACTCGTGTTTATTAATTTATGTAATTTATTTTAATCTCTTTTTTTAATAAATATTGTAAGAGGTATCTTATTCTGTTTGAAGTTGTATAGATTTGTATCATAATTAATTTATTATTTCATTATTATGTATTTATTATTTTGTTATTATTTGATTATAATTATTTTATTCATTTTTAGATTATTTATCTATTTTTTCTGTTTATTTTTAAATCCTGATTTAATTTGTTTTTATGTATTTAGCTATATTTTTCCTTTATACATTTTTTTTAATCCAATTTAGTTTGTTTTGATGTATCTTTTCATTAATCTTTTTCTATTTATCTATAATTGTTTTTGTATTGCCATTCATTTTTTCAAAACGTATTTAGATTGAATTTATGTTTTTACATGTTTATTCTATTTTTGCTGTCCTCTGAAGCAGCCCCACTGTAGAAAACGTGCTTTCTGACCGAGGCCCGGCTCACCTTGTCCTCCTCCCGGACCATGTACTGCGCCACTTTGAAGGAGCTCAGGTACTCGTTCATGTTCTGCACGTCCGAGTCGTCCGTGGCGTCCTGGCTGCGGTCCAGCAGCCTCTCGATGGCGGCGCTGTCGTAATGGATGACGTTCCCCTCGTCCTCCACTTTGTCCCCCGAATTGTTCTTCATCCCTGACAAACCGGGTTTAGAGGAGACGGCCGTTAGCCTGCTCCTCTGAAGCCGTCCCCCTTTTCCTACTTCATCAGACAAACACATTGCATGTGTCGTTCCAATATGGTGGAACGACCTACCAAGCGCTACAAGAACAGCAGGTCCCTGTCTGTCTTCAAGAAACTCTTGAAGACCCCCCTCTTCAAAGAGCATCTCCTATCCTAACCCTAACACGTACCTCTACCCCCCACAGCTCCTATCCTAACCCTAACCCGTACCTCTACCCCCCACAGCTCCTATCCTAACCCTAACCCGTACCTCTACCCCCCCACAGCTCCTATCCTAACCCTAACCTGTACCTCTACCCCCCCACAACTCCTTCTGTAGTCCCCTCTACCTCTATCTCACCACTGACTCTGATCAGTGTTTCTCCTCTATATCCTCCTGAGACCCAAAGAAAAAAAGTGTCTTCAAATGTCTTTTTTGTTCTATTTGGACCTAAAAAAAAACATTACAATTTAATTTAAAAAATATATATTTTTAATTTTCATTTCATATCATGTCCACTGTGGAGGACAACAGGACGATTAGCATGGGAAAATAGAACAGGCTTTAGACAATTAAAAAGGGATATTTACCTAAGAACTCTTAGGAAAAAAGTAAAGTTCCCAGCATGCAAACCTATCACATGGCACATACATCACTGGAAAGGCCAGGATGTCCTCTACAGAACACTATAGGGCTTGATAGGGTAACTCCAGATACTTAGGGGGGGTACAGGTGGACAAAATGTCCACTATAATGGACATAAATGAGTGGGCCGGGTCTCAGGAGGATATAGCTTATTGTCATAGTGATGAGAAATGT